AAATTAGTAAATATTCTTCGGACGTTCTAAAATAAAGTTGAACAGCGTTTTTCTGAAAAATATCGCTACCAGCAATTCCGGCACATTTTTGGAGCAAAGCGCCCGAGATGAAGGAAATCTTATTTCGAGCGGTAAAGATTGCGCGTCCTTGCGAAAGCGTTTGCTTTTATTCACTTTATGTTGCTAATTATAAAAATGGGCAAAAGATGTTTCAATCGTAATGGTACACACGCTAAGCACGTTTCCACTGCAAATAATAATTGCCAACGTCGACAAAAACATAGCATCTTCGGTGTAATCGTGCTAAAACCATTGGGCTTCGCAGCAGAGCTTTCGGATTTACGGAACAAATGACGGATGTCTCTATAGCGGAGCCAACGGAGCGCTAAGGGCTAATTTTCCGTAATCGACGCTCAGATTGTACACGGAAATGGACCGTTACCGATTGTCAACAACTATAAAAACGAGCCGCAAAACTCTTCCCGAATTGTCCATTTTTTGTGAACAATCTGAGCATCAATTACGGAGAATTTACTATACTTTCACGATGAAACGATTTGCATTGCATCGAACGATTTCAGAGAATCTTGACGATCACCTTTCGAATAATGCATTGTTCTCGAAAAGGTAACCCGTTTCCTGGTTGTTTTTTAACAATCGGATGCAGAAGAAATTTGTCTTCGTCGATCAAACGATACTCTGTGATCGATATAAAATGCTGACAGTATCCGTAGCAGAGCCAACGGAGCGCTGAGGGTTAACGTCGTCGTCGCTGTCGTTTAGATAGTTAGCCGCGAGTTATTCTAGGAAGACTGGTTAACGAAAAAATCGTGAAACGGTGCAACTTCTAAAAAAAAAACGAATTCTTCTCTAGAAATAACAAATACGATGGAAGTTCGGAGCGGCGATGAAACAGGCGAAATCGGAAAAATTCTGATCGACGAGAAGCTAAGAGTTCCGCGGTAAGTGTGCCACGGGGACAGTGGATTACCGGCGTGTCGCGGGTTAGAATAAATCGGCCGACTTTCAAAGACGGGCTCCTCGAGGCCACCTAACTTCCCACATCGACCCGATCGACCGTGGTAACCGTGACTTCCCGCGTTCCCCGGCGCAGGAACGCGCCGCGATCGCAAGGGAAACGAGGGAATTCACCGCCGCGCCCGCGGCGAACGAAAAACCGCGGAGACTTTCTGGCGTTCCCGTTCGAGCATCGACTCCTAGGGCGGTACACGCGAACGATACACGCTTCGGGAAAGTAATAAAACAATCGAGGAAGTCCGACGGAGAACGGGGTCCGCTCCCGGTTCGATCGCGGACTCGATGAAACGAGAAGTTTATTTCCGTTGTCCGGTTATTAATAGCACGAAATTGCTATCGAGCTAAAATAACGCGAAGCGGTCGTCTGGATTCGTGTACACGGTGTCCCAGAAGTCCCGTGAACGAGGTTAACCGCGGAATCATTGTCCCGTCGCTTCTGCGGATCCAATTACCGCGGATTTTTGTGCGCGACTACTCGAACGGTCTTTTGGCAGTCGTGTTGGAAACCGACGAACGAATTATCTTCTCGAGGTTTCTGTACTAATCGAAGCTTAACGCGCTGTGCGCGGGATACCTTTTCATCGATACCTTTTCGAACAATTTAATTCTTTCTAGTTTCGTTCTGTATTTGAAAGAATCCCTCGTTATGTGCTTGTTACTACAATCTTATTGTCAGTTTTGAAAGTGTTAAATGTTTTTTGAGTAGCGGATACGGTAATGTCTCTCTAATCGACGCTCAGATTATCCACAGAAATGGACAATTTGGGAAGAGGAGAACATAATTTGGATATGTAAATTCTCCCTAATTGACGCTCAGATTGTACACGAAATGGACAATTTGGGAAGAGAAGATACGATTATTCGAGCCTTGCGGCTCATTTTTATAGTTTTCGATTGTCAAGATTACGTCAATCGTAACACAATCGCGCACAATCTGACCGTCGATTAGGGAGAATTTACTGTAACACGGAACGGATTTCCCTTTCTATTGATTCCAGGTTTCTTTTAACACGGTCTCTGAACAACACAGAACGAATCTATCGTGTTATACAGGAGGGTTGATTGTAATCGTTAACGTCCGGCAGGTGACATGAAAATCGAACGAATCTTTCCATGCGATGGAAGAGTTTGAAAAATGAATTCCGAAAGCAGGAGGAGTGGTCGGTGAAGAAGTCGTGTTCCGTGGGCAAATTAATCGCGAGCTTGGCCCACCGCACAGGAACGTCTTGAATCCGCCAGGTGGTTGACCCGCATATCTCGCATGCAAGAGTATCCAGGAACGATGCATTCGTCATTCCGGACGCGGACGGAGAGTGCACGCATAAAAATCCCCGCTGGCTAGTCTGTATTAAACGTGGAATTTAGGAGCGTGGATTTATGGTGCTCGCGTTCCGCGGGAAACGTGCATCTTTTGGGAAAACCACTTTGAATGTATATACTTTTTGGGTTGCCGCGGCGGAGAGTAAAGTTTCGCTATTTCGAGCCGAGCTTCGCTAAAAGTAAATCTAGTCGAAATCTTATTTTCGGTGAATCACAAGAAGTCCGAATTAGATTTTCGTTGAATCTTGAATGTCGATTTGACTCCGATTAAATCTGAACTTCGTACGTATAATTTTCATCTGAATCGGCTATGGACAGAGCTTGGATTAATTTAATTTTTATTACGTATGAACTTGATAAGTTCGCTTCTAATCCGAATTAGCTCTAGATATAATTTGGATTATTTTGATTCCGATTAGATATGAACTTGATAAGTCCGCTTCTAATCTGAATTAGCTCTTTAGTATAATTTGGATTATTTTGATTCCGATTAGATATGAACTTGTTAAGTTCACTTCTAATCTGAATTAGCTCTAGATATAATTTGGATTATTCTGATTCCAATTAGATATATTATTAGATATTAGATATATATTATATATTAGATTAATCTTTAATTATCGATTAATCGATTAATCTAATATTATATATTAGATTATTAGATATATTCCAATTAGATATATTAACTTGATAAGTTCACTTCTAATCTGAATTAGCTCTAGATATAATTTGGATTATTTTGATTCCGATTAGATATGAACTTGATAAGTCCAATTTTAATTTGAATCAACTCTAGATAGAACTTGTATTAATTTGATTCCGATCAAATCTGAATCAGACAAGTTCAATTTCGATCTCTGAATTAGCTACGGACAAAGCTTGGATCAATTCGATTCTCATCAGATCCGACAAGTTCAATTTTCATGCGAATTGAGTACAGATAAATTTGATTCGGATTAATTCGATCCCAGATAAAGCCTGGATTAAGTCGAAGGTAAGTTTCAGTCTAATTCGAATTAAGTCCGGATTAGATTTAACTCTTCGATCGAATTTACATTACAGAGCTACGTCTGAACTTAACTTCAATCGGGCGTGGTTAGGACGAAGGTTAGATTATGCCGAGTTTGAGCTGAGATTAACTGAGATTCTCGGTCTCCCTCCCTCTCGAGTTTCGATTAGATTCGCTCTGTTACGATCAGAGTGTGTTACGTGCTTGGTTCGGGAAGAGGGGAAGCTAGAAAAACCGAAAAATTTCTGCGTACCCCGCCGAAAGTTACCCGCGGCACGGCCTTGGGGTCGATCAACCGGGTCCAGAGACAACATCCAACAATATCGATATCCACTCTACCAGAATAAAGTGTCAGTGTCTGTGGCGCGAACAGTGACACAGCTATTTCTGGACACACGGGCCGCGTGTGTACGCGAGCAAACTGAAGATCTTTCGCGAAGCTGCGGATCACGAATCAACACGCTGCCTCGATCGCTGGAGAAACGAATACAGCAATGTCTCTCTAATTGACGCTCAAATTGTCCACAGAAATGGACCATTTTTGAAGAGGAAACGTTTTTGTTCGAGCCTTGTGGCTCGTTTTTAATGGTTATCGATTGTCAACAACTATAAAAACGAGCTGCAAGGCTCGAATAATCGTATCTCCTCTTCCCAAATTGTCCATTTATGTGCAGAATCTGAGCGCCAGTTAGGGAGACATTGCTGTACAGTAATGTCTCTCTAATTGACGCTCAGATTGTCCACCAAAAAGGAACAATTTGGGAGAAGGAGATACGATTATCCGAGCCTTTCGGTTCGTTTTTATAGTTTCGAATTGTCAACAATTATAAAAGCAAGCTATAAGGCTCGAATAATCGTATCTCCTCTTCCCAAGTTGTCCATTTTTGTTTCCAAGCTAGGGGTATTTAGCGCAGTCCAGTAATATCTTTCTAATTGACGCTCTGATTGTCCACCAAAAAAGGGACAGTTTGGGAGAAGGAGATACGATTATCCGAGCCCTTCGGTTCGTTTTTATAGTTTCAAATTGTCAACAATTATAAAAACAAGCTATAAGGCTCGAATAATCGTATCTCCTCTTCCCAAGTTGTCCATTTTTGTTTCCAAGCTAGGGGAATTTAGCGCAGTACAGTAAAGTCTCTCTAATTGACGCTCAGATTGTCCATAAAAATTGACAATTTGGGAGAAGGAGATACGAATATTCGAGCCTCGCGGTTTATTTTTATAGTTATAAATTGTATACAATTATAGAAACGAGCCGCAAGGCTCGAATAATCGCATCTCCTCTTTCAAAATTGACCATTTTTTTTACACAATCTGAGCGTCAGTTAGGGTCACATTACTGTACTCTTTCACAATTTTTTCCTCGCTCCTATTCGTCACGCATGGACGAAAAGGCATTTACTCCTCCGCGAACTTTGAATCGATTCTCCGATCGGTTTTATCGTTGCTTGCACCGGTTATTAACAGTTCGCAAAAATTCGCCAGGAACAATCGATTAAATACTAAACTCTGGCACTTTCGTCGAGATCGTTGATGAGAGTTTTAGCGAAAGTTGAACGATGAAGATGAAACGAAATCGTTCGAAGTTGGATGTCGTTCGTACGAGACAATAAATTCAAGCAAATTCACTCACCCTTTGCGCCTTGCGCTTGTCTGCTCGCTGATTCTGGTGATATATGCGACTGAAATTACTGACGATAACAGGCACCGGTAAAGCGATCACAAGGACACCGCTGAGAGAGCATACACCCCCCACGATTTTTCCCGCGATCGTTTTCGGAACCATGTCACCGTATCTGAAACAGAAGGGAACAAGATCGTCAGAAATTTGATAAAAATCAAGATCGGTTTCAATTTGCGATGTTTCTCTTAATCTTAAATCTCGTAGCTTCTTTGCGTCACGTAGATTCCTAGACACGATAAAACTATAGTCAAGATCTTTCATAGTTCTTCACAGCTTCCATGGAAACAAGATCGTCAGAAATTTGTTAAAAATCAATATCACTTTCAATTTGCGATTATTTCTCTTAATCTTAATTGTCATAGCTTCTTTGCGTCACGTGGATTCCTATACACGATAAAACTATAGTCAAGATCTCTCATAGTTCTTCACAGCTTCCATGGAAACAAGATCGTCAGAAATTTGTTAAAAATCAATATCACTTTCAATTTGCGATTATTTCTCTTAATCTTAATTCTCGTAGCTTCTTTGCGTCACGTAGATTCCTATACACGATAAAACTATAGTCAAGATCTTTCATAGTTCTTCACAGCTTCCACAGCTTCCACGCAAGAGTCATTAATTTTCTTTTTTTGTAAAAGTAAACCATAAATTCACGTTATCTCTTTAACGTTACCGAGCTTCAAACGCAATCAATGTATATTATTTTGTAACAAACTTCGTATAAATTCCATTATAATATATGCTTCAATAAAGAGGATCGTAAAGAAACTCGTCGCATAAATATTTTTATAATATCGGTAACAGCAAAAGAAAAATTCAGAGACTAGTTATTTTGACTGATTTGATTTAATTTTAGTGTCAATGATACCTTTGGATCTTTCATGGTCCCAGAAAAACTATCTATACATTTTTGCTGTTCTTTTCGAAGATATTTTCAAATAAGAAGCATTCCTAGTTTCTATCGAATGTACTGATTCCGTAATCTTAATCTGTGTGCAGTAAATTCTCCCTAATTTTCGTTCAGTTTGTAAGCGAAAATGGACAATTTAAGAAGAGAAGATACGATTATTCGAGGCTCATTTTTATAGACGTCGATTGTCAACGATCGTAAAAACGAGGTTCGAATAATCGTATCTCGCTTTCCCACATTGTACATTTTCGTTTACAAGCTGAACGAAAATTAGGGAGAATTTATTTTACATAGAGATTATTGTTCTCGTGATATATGCGATATATCGAGAAGAAGATACGATTATTCGAGGCTCATTTTTATAGTCGTCGATTGTCAACGATCGTAAAAACGAGGTTCGAATAATCGTATCTCGCTTTCCCACATTGTACATTTTCGTTTACAAGCTGAACGAAAATTAGGGAGAATTTATTTTACATAGAGATTATTGTTCTCGTGATATATGCGATATATCGAGAAGAAGATACGATTATTCGAGGCTCATTTTTATAGACGTCGATTGTCAACGATCGTAAAAACGAGGTTCGAATAATCGTATCTCGCTTTCCCACATTGTACATTTTCGTTTACAAGCTGAACGAAAATTAGGGAGAATTTATTTTACATAGAGATTATTGTTCTCGTGATATATGCGATATATCGAGAAGAAGATACGATTATTCGAGGCTCATTTTTATAGACGTCGATTGTCAATGATCGTAAAAACGAGGTTCGAACAATCGCATCTCGTTTTCCCAAATTGTTCATTTTTGTTTACAAGCTGAAGGAAGATTCGGGAGAATTTACTGTATACACTGAAAGATATTCTATACAAGTCGTACTTTTCAGAAACGGGATACCATTTCCGAGTTACTGTGCAGCGCACATTTTGCATACGAAAATGCGCAGATACCAGAAACGCCGGAGGATCCATAATTAAGCGATAACCATTATCAAGATCTATTTCGGCGCGGGGATCGCAACGTCGCGCGCCGTAAAGTCGAAGGTGAAATGAACTACCGTCCGAAACGAGACCCCCGTATCTCCCGGTGTTCACCCGGCGCCGTTTAATTGAAAAATCCTGTACAACCTCTGGCACGTTGTTCGCATAATTTCATAGCTGTTTTACGGCCGCGTGTCCCGCGATGATTCACGCGGCCGACTCGCGCGATAATTCGCATCGTAAATTTTCGCGCCGAAACGAAACGCGACCGCGCCGAAAGAATGGGACTCGACGAGACACCGTCCGACGATATTAAAGAAAGAGAAACGAGTTCGGTCGGACAGAGACGGCGACGGAGAAATTTCCGAGCCGTGAACGTTGACGCTTTCAATTTTTCCCCCGGATCGCGTTAAGTTAAAAAAAAAAATGTTCGAAACGAGGAAAAACGGCGCCGAAAATTCACGACGTACCGGCCAGATTACGAGCGTATCTTCTTCCCGTCGCGATAAAACTTTCCCGCGATTGTACGGGAGCCCCGAAGAAACGCGGACGATTGTTTCCCCGGGAGCTTCGAACGCGGCAAATTCACTTCGCCGTCACTTTCATAAATTCTTCCCCGGTAAATTATACCCGGCTGCCCCGTTCTTCGCGGTACCCTGTTCCAACCGAGGCGAAACGTATCTCTCGGCTGACCTCCGTGCCCGATATCGATTTATCTCGCTACGAACGTGTCCTTGTTAAGGATGATCCACCGGACACTCGTTCAGCGACGCGGAACTACGGATTTTTCCGAAAACTGCGCGGCTTCGTGACCGATCTCTCTGCATTTTATGTACCTGGCCAGTCTGCTGCACGATCGCTCGCTCTCTGCGAGGCGATTTTATCGATCCACGTCGAGAAGCAATCGTTTAAACGGACATTTGGAAGCTGGCCCTGATTCGAGCACATTTCGAAGGACAGCGTTTAGAATCTTCGTGCGTGTATTGTTTCATTTTATTTCGGAGTTACTTGATCGTGTGCAAACTACAGTAATGTCTCTCCAATTGACGCTTGTCCACAAAAATGGACAATTCGGGAAGAAGAGATACGATTATCGATATTTATATCGTTAATATTAAGAGAAATATATATATATATCGTTTTTATAATTATCGATTCTCAGCAATTATAAAAACGAGCTGCAAGGCTCGAATAATCGTATCTCCTCTTTCCAAATTTTTATATATATATATATTTCTCTTAATATTAACGATATAAATATATATAAATTTGGANNNCACAAAAATGGACAATTCGGGAAGAAGAGATACGATTATCGATATTTATATCGTTAATATTAAGAGAAATATATATATATATCGTTTTTATAATTATCGATTCTCAGCAACTATAAAAACGAGCTGCAAGGCTCGAATAATCGTATCTCCTCTTTCCAAATTTTTGTGGACATCTAAGCGTCAATTAGAACATTACTCTATTTTGTATATTATATTTTGTACATTCGTTTCCGAAAATGATTTTAAAAGCAACCTTCGCAACCTTCAAAAGCAATCTCAATTCAATTGTCATTTCGTTCCACTCTGTGGTTACTTGGCACTTGACACAATTTTCTACAAAATAAATAACACACATAATACACATTTTTGTACGAAATAATCTGTGGCGGTGCATTCGAAGTAATCGCGGTGACATTGAACGGCTCGAATAAATCAGAGCTCGGTGACGGACGATCGATCCGATTAGAGCGACGAAATTTGTTGTTGCAACAAGATTGTCACCGAATGAATTATTTCGACGAAGCTCGACGGTCGCGGAGCTTTGAGCGCCGGGATCGATGCGATTAAGCAAAGTGAGGATAATGTACGGCAATCTGTTAAATAATTCAGTAGGATCTATTTTTTACGTGGAACCGAGAGCTTCGCTGAATTTTCATCGACCGTTAGATTATAGCGTGCCGCGGTGCAAACCGGTTATACCAACCAGCGAGGCTTCGCGGAGCACGAGGTACATATACCATAAGCGTCGCGACCACCTGACGTGGATTTAGAACGCCATGTCTGACCATGACGCGCCTTATTCCACTGAAAGCGAAGATCCGAGTCGCGCGGTACAACCTAATTCTCCGCGATCCAATTGGACGCTGTGTATCAAATTTTCCAACGAAGCTTCGACAAACGCGATTTCGTGTTTCGATCTTGCTCATTTTTCGGCGACTCGTTTCTTGGGAAAATATCCGCGATCGACGTTTCGAAGTTCCCACGTTCGAACGTTTCGAGGTTCCCACGATCGACGTTCCAAAGTTTTCGCGGACCCTACCACTTCGATCTTTAACCCTTTCGCGCCGAGCGCCGCATATATGCGGCATTCACTCGATGACCTGTGGGTACGGTCGCCGCATATATGCGTCATCGAAATGAAGCGCATACAGAAGACGCGGATGCGTAATTTGTAGCAAAAATGATAAAAGAACGGATTCGCGGTACGAGTGCAAAGATTGCGACGTTGGCCTTTGTATAGATCCTTGCTTTCAAATATATCGCACAGAATTATATTATTAGTTTTTACATATTATTATATTTTAATCGTTTTCGTCTCGTTATTAATTATATTAAACGTTTAATCGTTAGGCTTTGCAATTATATAAATACCTATGTTACCTACAATTTTGTAAGCCTTTTTAAATTAAAAATGTAAATATACTTGTTACATTAGAGCAACGATTGTTTTATTCGGTGCAGTTATTATTTAAGACTTGGAACAACGCATATACAGAAACCACGCGCACCGTGCATATTTCTGGAGCGAGTTTCCGTTCGGTGACGGTACTTCGGTGGATGGAGCTGCCGCAGCGAAAGGGTTAAAGGAGTGATTTCGCAAGCTTGTGTTTTCAGCCTTGAGAGATTCGAGGCGACCATAGTTCCTCGCCGCGTGGCTCACCGGCTCCGATATAGCACCGCTGTGGTGTACGTTATCTCGATTATCGATCACCGGATTCACGTTTATCGTTATTATTATCTTGAAATATGAACTCCGTGCACAGCGACTGCAGCCCCGTAGATTACACCGTCGAGTGACAATTCTATAGAGTGCTGCGATTGCGTGGAGGTAGATAGAGGCCATTTATTAGCATACGATACTTCGTCATACCGCTTAACAGGAGAGAGTTCGGTAATATATTATTTCTCCCGTTCATAATTTTTCAATAAATTAAACGTGATAC